GTAGCTCCTTTTTGGCCACAGCAGCCATAATCCCTTTACTTCTGGACCACCTTGGTCTCACAACAATCATTCTACACCCAGACACAGCCACTCTGCATCTTTGCGCCTGGATGCTATCATTATCTGAAAGCTACAGTCTTTAGAGTCAGAAGCAGATTTGATTCCCCATGGGTTTGATAGTAGCTGCCAATCCCCGATCTGCATCTGCACCGTCATTTGGGATTTTGCTGACAATCTACTGTCCAGGGTTTCCGATGAGTCATAATTGTAGTCCTCTTTCAGAATTTCAATGATAGATCTACAGTTTCCTCAAAATCACTCTGATGCATGACAGGTTTATCAGTTGACCTCCAACTGTGAAGTACCGGTAGATAGGCCTGCCATCTTTGGATTCGAGTATCGTCATTGGGTCACTCGCCTAAGCCCCGTTTGGAACCAACAGGTACATTGAAGCTCTCCTTTCTGTCAGCTTGCGTAACCCATATTCTTACTGGCTGCTACAGTAGCTTGCCTTAAGAAGGGAACTTCACTAATTTACGAGGTCATAGCCATTGGCACATGACCGCATTTACTTTATTCTATAGGTGAAGTTCAACACATGGAATAAATCATCTTATTTTTAGACCAGATATTTCCGGCCAAGTTGACATCCTTTTCATTAGTAGCAGAGGATATGGTGGTGCCCCATTCGAGCTCACCAAAAAGGGGCCCTTGCAAACCCATGCTGAAATGTCGACCCTTTTTTTTTCACCGGACACTTGGCCTCCATAAAATCAAATAGAGGGAGGGGAGGGGGGGGGGGGGGGGGGCTGGTACCATCTTCCAACATAGGGGGCACTCTTCAAACCAATGATTATATGCTAAATATGCATTATGTGCCCATTTTCAGGCCGTATTGAATGGGTTTTGGATTTGGTTTTCATATTCCTCGTTTATATCAAAAATATCTATACCATTATTGGGATATGGTTACTTGTAAGAAATAGTAAGATACTTTAAGGGCATTTTTGTTGTATCTTGAGGGGGCACTTTACTGTTCGAGGGGCACATTTATGGCCGCAAAAGGGGCACTTGGGAAAATGGGGGGGCAAATGCCCCCCCCAGCCCCCCCCCCCCCTGGATGGCTGGTACCATCTTCCAACATAGGGGGCACTCTTCAAAACCAATGATTATATGCTAAATATGCATTATGTGCCCATTTTCAGGCCGTATTGAATGGGTTTTGGATTTGGTTTTCATATTCCTCGTTTATATCAAAAATATCTATACCATTATTGGGATATGGTTACTTGTAAGAAATAGTAAGATACTTAAGGGCATTTTTGTTGTATCTTGAGGGGGCACTTTACTGTTCGAGTGGGCACATTTATGGCCGCAAAAGGGGCACTTGGGAAAATCTGGGGGGGCAAATGCCCCCCCCTCCCCCCCAGCCCCCCCCCCCCCCCCCCCCCCCCCCCCCCCCCCCCCCCCCCCCCCCCCCGGTTCCGCCGCCCCTGCCCTTGAGGGACGCCAAAATGGATATGGCTCTCATCTGAGTCGGCCCCTGCAACGGTGACATAACTCCTTCTACCGATATTTTTGAAGTAGGAGGCACACCACTTGAGAGCAGTATGTGTTATGCTAAACCAGTTTTTCAGGCGACGCAGCATAATGCCATGATCAAGAGTGTCAAATGCAGCAGACGAATCAAGCATTACTAAGAACATAGCATTATTATTGTCAAGAGTTTTCAAAATATCATTTTGAACACAAAACAATGTGCAGTCTCTATGCTGTGGCCAGCTTTGTAGGTGGACTGAAGGGGATCGGCAAGGGAATGAGTGTTGATGTGTTGCTTGAGTTGCAGGCAGACGACCTTTTCGATGAGCTTAGCGAGGTAGCGAAGGTTGGACACTGGCCAGTAGTTCCAAAGTTCATCTTTATCAAGAGAAGGCTTCTTTAAGATCAGCATGATCATACCGACACAAAGTGCCTCAGGAAAATTCCGAGATGAGAGGGAAGCGTTCACAATTTAAGTCAATGTTGGAAGTAGGATTTTGATGTGCTGTTTGAGAAGCCAGGTTGGGATGGGATCTAACTGGCAGGACTTTGTGGCAGTCTGACTTATGAGTTCACCAAGATCTTTCTCAGAAATGGGATAAAATTCTGATATGTTGTACTCTGGGTGGAGAGTTGTATCTTCAGTTGAAGGGGACTGTACAGGAAGGTCATCTATGAGCGCACGAATGTTTTTGACTTATTCAAAGAAAAAGTTGCTGAAATCGTTGGCAAGGGTACAGGGTGTGTCTGATATTGCCGGTGTATGTCGGGGTGCAGCCATCAACTCGTTACGTATCATCTAGCAAGCAGTCATTGGCCGAGTTTGGGCGAGTTGTTCATGACACGGGTATATCATTCTTGAAAACCCCGACGGAAAGGTGGTGTGAGATCCTTTCAAAGTCCATGTATGCAGTGTTCGTGGGTTCGTGTTCCCGCCATTCGAGTGCGAGAACAATAAAAAAATACTCACGTCAAGCACAGACCGCCCGTACTCGGACAGCCATTGCATGAGAAATGTTTCTGACTGTGTCCACAGAGGACGCGGTTTCTTATGTGCATGGCGTGGCGGGAACTAGTCATCGCTGCATCGAGTGTTTTCATATCGTCACTGTGACATCGAATTGCAAACTAGTTAAATTACAAAGCAAAGTTGTAAAAACAACAGAGGTTTCTTTTAAAAAATAGCGAATGTAAGTAGGCAAACAAATAAATACGAGGATTTTTGACACAAAAGGGTTGTTGAGAGGTGTTTTGTGAAGACAGAAAAGACAACGTGAATGTTTTTTTGGCTTTTTCGCAACTTTTGCGAAAAAGCCTTTCTTTTTGTTCTGATTTTTTTCTTTCTTCCTCTTCTTCCTTTACTTCTTTTTTGCACAAAATCCCGTAGACTTTGTACAAGTTTTTCTACACGCCACTTTTGGCCTTAAAACAATTCCGATTTACTTCAAACCTGGCACATACTTAGAACATCACCTGCAGATGTATGCCGAATCATTACGTCATGCTGATGCATCACGCGATTTATTATAGAATTTTGAATATTTAAATGTTCCCATAAACTTTGTACACAGAAATTTTAAAAAAATTGTCGATTTTCAAAAGGCATTTTCGACTCTTTGCCAGTAATTCATTTACACCACTCTTTGTCCATGCAAAGACCCTAATTCAAACAACATTGTGTAATGATGACATCATGATGACGTCATCCGGTGTTTATTTATAGGCAATTAAATTGTGACACTTTTAATATTTAAAAATGCATAAGAAATCAACCGTACGCGTCCGCAGCATTCTGTTGCCGGCAAGTGGTAGAGTAGGTTGAGGTCTTTATTTCATTCAGTGTGCGTGCGATCACGTGACCCTTGCTTCCGGTCGAAAAAGGCCAAAACTGGTGAAAGTGGTTATAGATATGAACTTGCTTTCAACGGTGTTAGTCTCTTTGCTGATAGTATTCTTCAAATCATCTACCGATGACGTCATGCAATCTTTGAGCGCCCTCTAGCGACAGGTTAAAAATTTTCAAAAATGTATTTTGAATAGATGTATGTGGGGAAGTTTGTAGGAATCGCCTAAATATTGGTGTATATGCTGACCTTAAGACGTGTGCGAAGACACTTAAAACGTGTACAAAGTTTTAGGCGTATGACGTCATCAGACCGGAAGTTCCGTTGAAAAGACCTTTCCTTTTTCAAAAATTGCTAACAAATCAATTCCTACAGATATAATCTTGAATTGCCCATTAAATGATAGCCTAAACATTTGCCTCACACAGTTGACGCAACGTCGGCAAAAAAATGCCGACTCATCCAAAGCAAGCATAAACCGCAAGTGTGTGTGTGTGTATACATTGACCAGATTCGGCATCGCCTGCTTCCCATACACCACACACGCACGTAGTCGTGAGGGCGCGGACCGACCAAGCACCACATTGTCAACTCATGAATATTAATTTCCCTGGTTGAACAACTCGCCAATAAGATAGAGGTGCTGCAAGACGTTATTCTGGTTGTTACAAAACTTGAGTGAAACTTGGCCCTGGAAAGGACTTAAAAGTTTGTCGTTTAAATTTTTGTTTACTCGGGAGGGGGGGGGGGGAATTAAATTCATTAATTTGGGGTGTAAAGATAATGAAATTGAAGATTTCTATTTTAAACGTTTTATTCCTTTTCTAGTAGTATTTAACATGGCATGCATTGTAATTGTTGCTGTATCGAATTTGCATTGACCAAGAGGAGGGGGGGGGGCCCAGATCTCTGCTATCCAGCGACAATAAATTATGAAACTCGGTAGATACACAGAAAAACTTATCATTAACATACCCATGAAATTTCATGACTATAGGTCAAAGGGTTTTGGAATTACGGCTAATTAAATATCCATATGCACAAATGGTAATTCTGTTTTGTGTGCACTACATATATGGGGAAATTCAGTTTCCACGTCGCGCAGCGCTGGAACAACTTTGCTGCGCGGCAACCCCTAGTCCGCAATTTATATTTTTATATCAAAAGATTTAAAGCTAAAAAGTCAGAACAGCTCGGGACCGATCGACGCCTATGGTTGGCACCATGCTTCAGAGTGACAGACTTTACATGTACCGGTATTAAATTGTATACGTAGGGCCTACATGACTTGCCTACATGTACATGCTGTAAAGTGTCAGTTGGTGAAATCAATAATTCTGAGAGAGCCCCTAAAACCGTTAAAAACTATTCTCTGTGCGTGGATGTGTGTGTGGGTAGGCCTTTATGTGTTTTATGACACACTGTGGTACTTTCGTAAGCCCCTGATTATTTTCTTAAGCCCTAGGCACAGTGCCTACTGTGCCTATTGGGTAATCCGGGCCTGTTGACCAGATATCCCTAGAAAACTTGATGGCTGAATGGTTTAGATATTGCATGAACAAGTTTTTAGTTACCTTTAATACTTAATAAGCTGAACTTTTTCCTTTAATTGTCTAGGGAAAAACATCTGTTATTCTGAGATTTCTGGAGAAAGAGGAACACCCAAAGCCAACAACTGCTTTGGAATACACGTTTGGGAGAAAAGCCAAAGGACACAACATGGTAATTTATCTATCCTGTATGCACATGTACATGTATTTAGCCAATCCATACTTTCAAATGCAAGATTTTAGATTAATTTTCTTCAGAAGTAATCTGTATCTTTAATCATAATCAGAGACAGAACGGGGGGGGGGGGGGGGGGGGGGGGGGGGGGGGGGGGGGGGGGGGGGGGGGTTACGGAAATGTTCTCAAATAAGGCCATTTTTCACTTGTGAGATCCCTTCCCAAATATGAGTGCCAGCAATTCAAAAGCTCCCATGGAATAAAACTTTTGCGTGGCATACGTGTTTCACTCTTCAAAACCTTGTGCACGTAGAATTAGTGCAGATAGAGTAATTACAGCTCGTTTGCTACGGATGCAATATGAATAAATTGAATGAAAAACCTGAAAAAGAACACTTCTGCCTTGACGCGCCATGGATGCTATAACATTTACACAAATCAAGTTGGAGAATGCAAGCAACTGCATGCATGAAACTCCCTAACGTATCACTCATCATCAGTCTTTTACAAAAACCCCACTAGTGGCACGACACACACGGCCTACCGGACGTTCTTAAACCGTAGTGTGGATTAACTAGCAGATTAACGTCTGCACAATGATAATATTATTGGCAGCTTTCTTCCGGATTTACTAAGATTGAGTAATTGAAAAATTGTATTTCAAATCATACTTGTTGCAAAGATATTGACAATAATTCTTTTCGACGTAACAAGGTTGATGCTCATCGTATCTGTGTTCTTGTGCTAACACTGTTGCCAATTTTCTCCCATAGGAATGTGTACATTTCTGTAGGGACTGACGAAAAATGTTTTGGGTTACTGTAGAGTAAGCCAACATGGCTATGTTGTGTAGCACCCTCTTGTGTTCACCACGTTATGCACATGTGATACCTTGCCATGTAACTTGCCATCTTGGAATAAACACATTGCACAGTCTTCCCATAAAACCTTCTCTTGTTACATTACTACATGGTGGCAGCAGTCTCTGAACCAGCAAAATGCCTTCTAATCCACCCCAAGCAGCAAGCCAGCCACAAGTAACAACTCATCTCCCACTACAATGGAAATTTGATGGTGGAAATGGACTGAATCAAAGTGAGTTGTGGCCAATGTGGATTAAGCGCTTTGAACCCTATCGGATAGCATCAGGCCTGTCTCAAAATCAACAAAGGGAACAGGTGAGCACTTTGCTCTATGCTATGGGTGATTGTGCCAATGACATACTAATAATTCTAAGACTCAATGAAGAAACTGCAACATATGATGAAGTCACTCAGGCACTAAATAAACATTATGAAGGCCGCCGTAATGTCATTGTAGAAAGGGCTTGTTTTAACACACGAAAGCAACAGCCAGGGGAACCTATCGATGCTTTCATTCAGGACCTGTACCATCTAGCTGACCACTGTGCATATGCGGAACTGAAAGACAGTCTCATAAGAGATAGAATGGTCGTAGGGGTGTCAGATTAGAAATTGTCGGATCATCTCCAGTCCAAATCTGACCACACCCTTGACAAAGCAGTCCAGGTATGCCGCCGGGCGGAATCACGAAAACTAAACCAAGATGTGGTGAGAGGTGAAATAAACTCACCTTCACAAGTCGATCACCTCCGGTTGTCATCTGCATCCCACATGGGAACGAGTAGAACCGGACAAAGTCAACGCCAAAATGCACAGTCATCTGCCACACCCATCCAGGGAAGTTCATGCTCATGGTGTGGGTAAGAATGACATACTCGTGCTCACTGCCCTGCCAAAGACTCAATTTGCTCGAGCTGTCACAAAAGGGGACATTACAAATGTGTCTGCCGCAGTTCAAAAGTTCACGAGGTGCAGGATCTGCTTGATGATGACTCGGACTTACCATTCCTTGGTGAAGTCTCCAGCAACAAAGACTACTGGACAGCCGAGATATCCGTCAATGGACACAAAACATGCTTCAAGTTAGACACTGGGGCAACAGTTTCTAAGGTCACTGAGCTCGATGCCAATAGTGGATTCTGGCAACTTCCACTGGACGATCAGTCAAAATTGCTCACGATACTGTTGGATACTGTTTCAACAGGCTTCCCTTTGGCATATGCTCTGCACCAGAAATATTCGGACAATGTCTGGTATTCTGGTGGGCCTCGAGGGAGTAATCTGCCACATGGACGATGTACTCATCCACAGTACATCTCAAGCTGTAAATGATCACAGGGTGAGAGCAGCCCTACAATGACTGCAAGAGGCAGGACTAACACTCAATAGCAAGTGTGAGTTTACAAGGAACACAATCAAGTTCCTTGGCCACATTGTAGATGCATCTGGTCTCCTCGCAGATACCCAGAAGACAGCAGCCATTGCCCAGTTACCCACACCCACAAACATTACAGAGCTACAACGGTTTATGGGCATGGTGTATCAGCTTGGGAAATTCATCACTGGACTAGCAGATCTCAATGAACCACTATTTCAGCAACTAAAGGATACACTCGTTTCCTCCGTGATCCTCGTTACTATGATACAAACCGCCCAACAATCATCGCAGCCGATGCTTCCATGACAGGTATCGGTGCAGTTCTGCTCCAAATTCAAGATGACTGCAATCGCCGCCCTGTGTGCTATGCATTGAGATCGCTGAGCGACACAGAGAATTGCTATTCAGTCATAGAAAAGGAAGCACTCGCGACAACCTGGGCATGTGAGAAATTCTCAGAATACGTACTCGGATTACAATCCACAGTGGAAACTGATCTCAAGCCCCTAGTGCCGCTTTTGAGCATGACTGAACTGTCAAAAATGCCACCACGCACTTTTATGGTTTCGTCTCTGACTAATGAGATTCAACCCACAAATCATGTATGTACCTGGCAAACATCAGACAACAGCTGATGCACTTTCACGAGCTCCAGTCGGGATCCCTGAGAAATCCGACATAGCGTTTATCGTGGACACAGACAACTTTGTTGACTTTGTTGACTTTGTTGTCAACACACTTCCTGCCTCCTCACAACGTCTTTTTGAAATCAGCCAAGCTCACAAGGCAAATGAGGAATGTTCCCAAATCAGACTGTACTGCCTAACAGGTTAGCCAGCATACATGCCCTACAACTCGCTACTTCGCCAATACTGGCAAAGCAGGAGCCATTTCGCAATCGTCAACAACTTACTGCTGTACGACAAACACATAGTGATTCAGCGAACAATGCGTCTGGAAATCCTCATTTGCATACATCAGGGACACATCGGCATCACCAAGTGTCGTGCACGAGCGCAAACATTGATCTGGTGGCCTGGACTGTCAAAAAGTATTGAGGAAATAGTCACCAAATGCACCACATGGGCCAAAGAACGACCTCAGATAAAAGAATCGCTCATGCCTGCCTCCTTCCCATCACGCCCATGGGAACGACTAGGCATGAGTCTGTTCCAGCATTTCGGGAATGTCTACCTCCTAGTCATCGACTACTTTTCTTCACTGGATAGAAGTCAAACAACTCAACGAGCAAACCTCACACAGCGTAATAGCAGCACTGAAACCCATCTTTGCAGTGCATAGCATACCCGATATTGTCATGTCTGACAATGGTCCCCAGTTCAATGCTGAGACTTTCCAACAGTTTGCAGCAACGTATGGATTTGTGCACACCACAAGCTCGCCGCGATATCCACAAGCAAATGGGGAGGCTGAGAGAGCAGTTTGTATTGCAAAAGCACTCCTCAAGAAAAACACTGATCCGTACCTTGCCCTTCTCACATATAGGTCAACCCCACTTCAAAATGGCCTATCTCCAAGTGAATTACTGATGAGAGGCATCTACGCACACAACTTCCTGTTCTGCCAAGCACTCTGAAATCAAAGGTGCAAGATGAGGATCTTGACAAAGTCCGTACCAGAGAGGATGCCTACAGATCAACTCAACAAATGACATTCAACAAGAGACTCAAAGCACCTGAACTACCCACTCTACAGCCAGGCGATCTGGTCAGGATTCGAGACCAAAACCGCGAGGGCAAAGTTGTTGAGAAATCCCAATCACCACGATCCTATGTAGTTCAAACAGATCAGGGCATTGTGCGAGGCAACTGAAGTGCCGTAATCAATACACCCAATGCACCAATAGAGAGTCCACCCATGAGCGAGAGAGCAGAAACACCCGTTTCGCCTCAGACAACCCCCAAACACTCGGCTAATTACTGAAACTCTGGACACTCCGCGTAGTGATACCCCAATCAAAAACACGTTCAGGGCGTACAGTAAAACCCCCTGCCCGTTTGGACTTGTAAACTAATGGACACTCCGACTGTGGACTCCTATCCATTGTTTTACCTTATATAATCAACTGTTAGTTGCATGTTCTGCTAGTTTAAAAAAAACAAAAAAAAAAACTAGAGCTTCGCGTTTGTTGTTACAAACGCAGAGTGGTCGGGTAGACAACTATTTTATGAAACACTGTCCAGTTAAGTTTTTTTTATGTAACAACATGTACAAAGGATAACAATAATTTAAACTGTCTCATAAAATTAATCATTTTGTTTAAAAATGTTTCTTTTAGGCCCCCCAAAAAGTCTCCGGTTTCTGGTATGCGCGCACGTCGCCGTAGCCATGCGCGTCGGCAAAATGGAAAAGTGTTTTTTTTTCAATGAAAGATGAAGTCTCAAAACTGCCAAACTCACTGGTTTGACTGGAATTGTGCTTCTGCACAATTTTAAAGCGGTTTTTAGATTGGGTTATGGTCGAGAAAAAGCTTTATGTGGCCTCTCTGGACTCCCATATATTTGCACTAAGTTTAGCCGGGCACTATTTGCAGTCATCAGCCGACATTTGAAGCAAAAAAATCAGGTAAAAAAAAAAAAAAAGCCGCGTCGCCACACCACTTTTTGGGCAAGCTCCATACCAGAAACCGGAGCCTTATTTTTGGGCCTTAGGTAGTGATCAATGTCAGTATGTATTTATTTTTTTAAACGTTGAAAAAGTGAATATGGGTAGTGAATACTGATGTTATTCGGAGAGGATGCATGTTCATTGATTTGCATGTATTCATGTGTCCGATCATAACTGGAGCCATTTTAAATGGTAAGCTGTTTTCAGCATGAACTCCCAATACCATATGCCTGGAAAAAAAACGAAATAATACTTACTGTCCGAAGGTAAATTTATAAACAGAAACAAACATTTATATTCGCAAAATCGCTGCTCAGAGTTCATACGAGGATGCCTTTCCGGGCCGCGCCACGAATAGCGTAAGTGCACACATTCTACTTTCCGATTCACAGTGTGCGTGCAGTGTACAAGCTTAACCCCGGTTATGACACATTAACTGCGCATGCGAAGACGCGCGCAGCGATCTATTTTAGTCGTACACGCGTGACAACAGTACTTCTCCTCAGACTTTCTCAGAGTCTACGTACTAATAACTGACCATGTACTTGTACATGTACGCCTGCGAAAAGCAAACGAAAAGCCAGGCTACGTTCAGCGGGCTTGCGCGCCCTATGCTGTGGCCGAACGGCGACGCACTATGCTTTCATTGAATTTTTGAGCGACGGACTACTATAAGGGTATTTTTGTCGTCGGCGGGTCACTTGTGTGAACAATTAGACAAACCACGAACCTGGCACAATTGACACCAATGTTTAAGCTGTCATTCAATGGACACTTCACGATTATATCTCTCAGGATTGATTTATTTTTGAAGAATAGAAGGTCTTTTCGTTGTAACTTCTGGTCTGATGACGTCATCAACTTCAAACTTCACACAAGTGTTGTTTGCATGAAGGTCATTATATATACCAGTTTTCAGGCGATTACAAAACACTTCCCCACAGACATCTATTCAAAATGCATTTTGGACATTCTTAAACCTGCCGCTAGAGGGCGGTCGAGAATTTCATGACGTCACTGGTACAAGTTTTGAAGAATATTGTCTGGCCAGAGACTAACACCGTTGAAAGCAAGTTCATATCTATTTCCAATTTTAAATAATAAGCCAATAATAAGCCACTTCTGGTTTCGAACAGAAGCAAGGGTCATGTGATTTTACGTACACGTTAAAAAATAACGACCCTAATTCACTTGCCGCAAACAGCAAGACGACAGATGTCATTATTGATTTTATATAGATTTTTAAAGATAAAAAAATATCAAAGTTTAATTGCTTGTCACGTGACACCTGATGACGTCATCATGCCATCATTGTTCTGGCACAATCTTAGCATTCCATCTTTGCTTGGTGTTACTTTGCTGAAGATGCCCCATTGAAAAGTGGCCAAAAAGGTCCCTTGAAAAAGAAGGGCACAAAGTGGAAAAACTGTGGAAAAAGTCAATGGGCTTAAATAAATATTCAAATTTCATAATAAATCACATGATGACGTCATCATTGCGTCCATCTTCGCCAACGACCTTTGCTATATGTTCTTTGACTATGTTAAGTTTCAATGTCATAATGAGTGTGCTTTATGACTAAAATGCCGACGAGAAAAATCGTGCACAAAGTCTATGGGATTTGTTATAGAGGACCAAGCGTCTTGAGCACAAGACTACGCGCCACGTGTTTGGCCCCATTCCAACAAGCATGACGATGAAGAAATGATGGGTCTGCACTGAATGCATGTACATGTACAATGTCCTGTACATGCAGTGTACTCACGCACACCCAGCTCTACGCTTTCATTGAATTTTTGAGCGACGGACTACCGTTAGGGTATTTTTGTCAGCGGCGGGTCACGTGTGTGAACAATTTGACAAGCCACGCGCCTGGCACAATTGACGCCAATGTTTAATCTGTCATTTAATGGACAATTTAAGATTATATCTCTCACGATTGATTTTTTAGCGATTTTTGTAGAATAAAAAGTCTTTTCGTTGTACGTCATGCAATCTTCGAGCGCCCTCTAGCGACAGGTTGAAAATTTTCAAAAATGTATTTGAATAGATGTCTGTGGCGAAGTTTGTCGGAATCGCCTAACTATTGGTGTATATGATGACCTTGACCCACTTAAGACGTGTGCGAAGTTTTAGGCAAATGACGTCATCAGACCGGAAGTTATAATAAAAAGACTATTTTTCATTTGAAAATTCCTGAAAAATCAACCATGGCAGTTTTTATGTTAGTTTTTACTTTAATTGTCGATTTAAGGGTAGGTCTAAAACATATCAAAGCTTCGAGGCAATAAGTGAACTCGGACATGCCCTGCGCACTCTTAAAACTTCAGGTTGACAATACCTCTGCTCTAAAACATGCACAGAACGTATATATATATACATGTACATACACACGTTACGCACATACATCGTATGTCAGTCAGCCTGCAGAGCACGTGTTGACGAGGTCAAATCCTGTCCACATCACAGTGAC